TTTTTTTTTTTTTTTTTTTTTTTTTTTTTTTTTTTTTTTTTTTTTTTTTTTTTTTTTTTTTTTTTTGTCAAAAGTTTCAAGATTATCTATGTTTTTGTAATTTTAGGACAAACCATATATGGCATACAACTATGCCATTAATTAGTACACCCAAGGAAAGGTACATTAATTTTAGACCCATTTAAAAATTGAACTACTTCCCAAAAATTTAAATACTAAAATATTATTTTTTTTTAAAAAAAGTTTTTAGGTGCTAGATAGGAGAAAATACTTATAATTTATTTTTTTTTAAATAAATAGTTTAAAAAATACTTCTAATATTTAAGGAATATTAAAAAAAAAATCATTATATGTATGTATGTATATATAAAAGTTAAAATTTCGTTGCTTTCATCATAATTTAAAAAGAAAAGCAAAATTAAATTATTTCTCCGTCCATGAAAAGGAATATATAAGAAAAAGAAGGTCAGGTATGTTCAAAAGTGAGCGAAATCTCGCAGAAAATCCCCATGTGCCACAGGTTCGCTCTGTTTTATAAAGACGCCACAGTTAATAGCATTGACCGGACGACCTGATACTTCCGGCATTTCATTCATCGCCTTTTTTGGCTTCTTTGCTACTGCTTAGCTACCGTCCATGTCCTCGGGACTTGGATTCCGGCCATCGGATCTTTCTTTCTTTTCCCGGAAGTTTGTTTCTCCGATCAATCACCGGGAAAACGTCAGATTGCCCTTCACTCCTCTAAGGAAAATGAACCCGGAGCAGCCCATGAGGTGGGGTTCCGGTTGCTGCCTTGTTGTTGCAGCCAAGAGGCCGCCGATTGACGGCGTTCCGGCAGAGCTCAACAAAATCGCTTCCCAGAAACTGGACTCTGCTCCGGCACGCCGGCGGGTCCGATCGGCTTTCATAGAGATTCAACAGCAGCTCGATCACTGCTTGTTCAAGGTTTGGTTTGTGCATTTTTCAACATTTTGATCTCTGGGATTTTCTGTTTTGATCGTTTGGCTTCTTTTTTTGTCTTCTTTCTTCTGATTTTGTGTTTTGGATGGGTGATTTGATCTGTTAGATGGCTCCTGCTGGGATCAACACTGAGGAGGTTAGAAATTCTGTTTTAACTTCATATTTCCACTAGAATTTACGTTTATTTATGCCAATACCTACAAATTTGGGAAATTAGATCTGAAATTAAGATCAAAGAAAATGGTATGTGGAATTGATGATTTGGAATTTGAATGCGTGTGTAGTGGTATGAATGTAATTCAAGGGGTCTGAATATTTTCTGCAAAAGATGGTTTCCCGAGCCTGATGTTCATATCAAAGGTGCTGTGTGTTTCTGCCATGGCTATGGTGGCACCTGCACTTTCTTCTTTGATGGTTCGTAGTGGTTTCAATTTTCTCGCCTCTGTGTTTGCCTCCATGTCCGAGCAACTTGACATCTGGTGGTTCTAAATGTTCAGGAACTGCTAGGCACATTGCTGCATCTGGGTATGCCGTTTATGCTATGGACTATCCAGGTTTCGGTCTATCAGAAGGATTGCATGGTTATATTCCCAGCTTTGATCAACTAGTTGATGATGTTATAGAACAGTACAAGAAGTTTAAAGGTTTGCTGCCGTTGTACTCACTTTATGTGTGGATCATCTTGCTTACAACCATTTCTGAATCAACTTGTATTTCGACTTGTAGGGAGACCAGAATTGAAAGGATTGCCTCATTTCATATTAGGACAGTCCATGGGAGGAGCTATTACCTTGAAAATTCACTTGAAGGAACCAAATCTCTGGGATGGACTGGTCCTTGTGGCTCCCATGTGTAAAGTAAGTTCAAATATTTCCACGATGGACCAAGTATTCGATCTTAATTTAACACATACAACTTTTGTGAATGGTGCGTTAGGAATCATGACTGGGCTTCCCAAAAATGTCTCGTACCAGTGGAAATGTATTCCTTAATTATTAATCCATGATTATTCCCTAAATTAGCATTGGGACTCCCTCCCAACAATCCTCCCCTCAAACAAAGTACACTCTTGAGCCCTCGAATAACCTCCGTTTAATTAAGGCTCGACTCCTTCTCTAGAGTTCACGAACAAAGTACACCATTTGTTCGACACTTGAGTCACTTTTGACTACACCTTTGAGGCTCACAATTGAGGATTCTATTGACATGGCTAAGTTAAGAGCATGACTTTGATACCACTGTTAGAGTCGTTATTTGTTAGTGATTTCAATGTCTCTTAAGATTGCAGATGATGTGAAGCCGCCAGACCATGTGCTTAAGGTTTTAAGTCTAATGTCTAATGTCATGCCAAAAGCCAAGCTTCTACCAAATGTCGATTTCGACGAACTGGCTCTCAGAGAAACGAAGAAAAGGAAACTGGTTCATATTCGTTTTCATTCTATACATTAATTTAGTTCATATTCCTTGAACGTAATGATTATCTAATTGTTATAAAAATTGTGATGTTCCTTTTGCAGGCTGTCTACAATGTTATATCATATGAAGATCGGATGCGTGTAAAAACTGCCATGGAACTTTTAAAGGCGACGGATGATATTGAGAAACAACTGGAGAAAGTGAGTGCCTGTATTCTCTTATACTGATATTGTTATTTGATTTAGCATCCACTGATTTTAGAGTATCTGTAGGTTTCATCGCCATTAATGATTCTTCATGGAGCTGCAGACAAGGTGACGGATCCTAAAATTAGTCAATTTCTATACGAGAAGGCGTCGAGCAAGGACAAGACTCTGAAACTCTATGAAGACAGTTTTCATTGTATTCTTGAAGGGGAACCCGATGAAAGAATTTTCACTGTTCTAAATGATATCATCCATTGGCTAGATTCCCGATGCTCCTCGACGTAGTTCTTAGTTAATTGCACAGTGATTCTTCCATTGTTTCTGTTATGATAAGTTAAGTTAATGTAACACACTCTCATGTTATCTCAAATTATCTAGGCATTTGAACTTTAAATTAAAATTCAATAGAAATCTTACTTTGAGAACAAAGCCTTTTTTATAAGGGTGAAGAAACCTCTCCCAGAAGACGTATATTGAAAACTTTGAGAGGAAGTCTAGAAGAGAAGGTCAAAAGAGGACAATATATGCAACAAATGGATTTGGGCGGTTATAATATATCAAATATGGGGTGGGATTAATTTTACCATGTCAATAGATTTCTTAAATATCGAACAAAGAATTGTGAGTCTCGAAGTTGTAGTCAAAAGTGACACAAGTATCGAACAAACGGTGTACTTTGTTTGAGGACTCTAGAGGAGGAGTCGAGTGAAAGGGCAACTGTTTGAGTACATAGACCTCAGGGGAGGCTCTATGATGTACTTTGTTCGAGGAGAGGATTGTTGGGAAAGAGTCCTATATTGGTTAATTTAGGGAATGATCATGGGTTTATGAGAGGATTGTTGATTTACGAAATGATCATGTTGAGGATTGTTTGGGAGTCCTATATTGGTTAATTTAGGGAATGGTCATGGGTTTATGAGAGGATTGTTGATTTACGAAATGATCATGTTGAGGATTGTTTGGAAGAAGTCCCGCATTGGCTAATTTAGGGAGATCTCCATGGGTACGAAGCCTTGTGGGGTAGTCCAAATCAAAATCATGAGAGTTTATGATTAAAGTAGACAATATCATGCTACTGTGGAGATCTATGATTACTAACTATTGTTGAACACAACTCTCTGTGGGAAACATCCGCACTCTTTGTTAAGACCAATCGAGAAGAAAGATATCTACATTGGTATGAGGCCTTTTGGGAAGCCCAAAGTAAAGCGAAGTCATGAGAGCCATGAGAGGTTATGCTCAAAGTGGACAATATCGTATCATTGTTGAGATTCACACTCTTTATTAAGACCAATCGAGAAGAAATATATCTCCATTGGTATGATGCCTTTTGGGGAAGCCTAAAGCAAAGCAAAGCGAAGCCATGAGAGCATGGGGCCTTTTGGGGAAACCTAAAGCAAAACCAAGCCATGAGAGCCATGAGAGGTTATGCTCAAAGTGGACAATATCATACAATTGTTGAGATTTGTGATTACTAACTAGATTGTTGAACCCAACTTTCTATGAGAAAGAATCGCACTCTTTATTAAGACCAATTATAAGAGATTACAAGACACTTCGTAGAAACACTAGCACTCTTTATTAAGACCAATAAAAAAGAGATTGCAAAACACTTTGTGGAAACACTCTCACTCTTTATACAAGACACTTTGTATAATACTATTGCACTCTGTGCTTTACACTTTGTGCTTTGTATTTCTTACTGTACTATGTGCTTTGTATTTCTTACTATACAATGTGCTTTGTACTTCTTGGGATTACTGCACTCTGTGCTTTGTATTGGACTATTGCACTCTGTGTTTGTATTTCTTACTATACAATGTGCTTTGTACTTCTTGGGATTACTGCACTCTGTGCTTTGTATTGGACTATTGCACTCTGTGTTTTGTATTTCTTACTGCATGAGCTTTGTAATTTTTTAGACTACTGCATTCTATGCTTTGTATCTGTGCTTTGTATTCCTTAGGCACTCTGTGCTTTACACTTTGTATATTTTGTAGAATACTATTGCACTTTGTGCTTTACACTTTGTAGAATACTATTGCACTCTTGTGCTTTGTATTTCTTAAAGCACAGAGTGCTTTGTATTTCTTGGACACTCTGTGCTTTACCCTTTGTATTTCTTACTACATTCTGTTTTACACTTTGTAGAATACTATTGCACTCTGTGCTTTGTATTTCTTACTGCACTCTGTGATTTACACTTTATCGGATACCATTGCACTCTTGTGCTTTGTATTTCTTACTGCACTTTGTGATTTACACTTTATCAGATACCATTGCACTCTTGTGCTTTGTATTTCTTACTGCACTCTGTGATTTACACTTTGTAGAATACCATTGCACTCTTGTGCTTTATATTTCTTACTGCATTCTATGCTTTACACTTTGTAGAATACCATTGCACTCTTGTACTTTGTATTTCTTACTGCACTTTCCTTTACACTTTGTAGAATACTATTGCACTCTATGCTTTGTATTTCTTACTGCACTCTATGCTTTACACTTTGTCTGATACTATTGCACTCTTGTGTTTTGTATTTCTTACTGCATTCTGTGCTTTACACTTTGTAGAATACTATTGCACTATTGTGTTTTGTGTTTCTTACTGCACTATGTGCTTTGTATTTTCTGGGCACTCTGTGCTTTATGCTTTGTATTTCTTACTGCACTATGTGCTTTACACTTTGTAGAATACTATTGCACTCTATGCTTTGTATTTTTTATTGCACCCTGTGCTTTACACTGCGTAGAATACTATTGCACTCTTGTGTTTTGTATTTCTTACTACATTTTGTAGAATACTACTGCACTTTTGTGGTTTGTATTTCTTACTGCTGTGCTTTGTATTTCTTGGGCACTCAGTATTTTACACTTTGTATTTCTTACTACACTCTACGCTTTACACTTTTGTATAATACTATTGCACTTTGTGCTTTGTATTTCTTATTGTACTTGTACTCTGTGCTTTGGATGGCCAGACAATTTATTTCTCAAATTTCTCCATTTTTTTCTAAACTATCTAAATCTTTTTCCTAAAATAATTAAGTATATTTATTACTAAAATACCTAACTCATTTTAGTGAGATATCTCGATATTCTTAAAATACCTGAGTCATTTTCCTAAAATATATAATGGGCTTATATAATTATTGGGCTCGACCCTATTGGGCTAGCGGTGATATTTTAACACAAACCACATATCTCAATTAACATATGCCTGGTCACTTGGTCATTGTCATCCCCTTAAAAAAATGACCCAAAAGATTGAGTATTAAAAACACTTAGTAAGTTGCCTCTCGAATGGCTCACGGTGTCACAATCATACTCTTGTGGCAGTAGCACAATGAATGTGTGAGACTTATTCTAACCCAATGAATAAGTCTGTCATGAGAAGTTTGGACTTAACGGATAACGTCGGCGTATGTTCGAGTCTCGGGTCACATTTGAGAGAAATGTTTTAGAAACAGGAGCGAGAAAATGCACTGAAAACAATTTTAAAGAAAACAATGTTATAAGCTAAAAGGAAGTAGGCAACAACAACAACTTTGATAGCATATAACCCGTAGGAAAAATTGACTACTAGTCGCATCCCACTAGGGCTCGAAAGCGGTAGCTAACTGTGCACTGACAAACTACCCGCACGTGAACTTATACGTATGGTCGTGTATGGGGGACACTCCTAGCGTGTGTGAAGGCGCGTGGGAGCTCTATTTTTTTTTTTTTTTTCCATTTGATGTCTTTCCATTAGTTTTTCATTCAGATTTTGATACTAACCCTGCTTTCACTTGAGTTAGGACCAACTAGAGAAATTTAAAAAATTTTGGAGCTTGTAAGACGCGAAAAAGGTAGCTCGGGAAGGCACATATTAACCAAGTACGTAACCACATAGATTCTAGAAAGTAATACTTATAGGGATCGCTTAGATTTGTATCCATGCTAGTAAAACTAAACCCTATGTAAATAGATTTGGTATGACCCAAACCTAAGATGATTGGATAAACTAGAGAATAAACATACTTGCTAACGACATGACTGATTTAATCATCACTTGATATAATGGACTGCATCTTTACTACTTGTACATAATCATGCTGAAATAGAGGATGAGAATTTATGTACTTACACTCTAGGAGTTTGATGAATGATATCACCCCATTGAGCATGTGCGATTGTATGCATGATTAATTGTACATTGACTCCAGATGATTGAATGTGTGATTCTCCCTATAAGGGATAAGTAGTAGAATCGATAATAAAACTAGGGTTAGAATGTCAATTTAGCTAGACTATGACCTAAAATGGGACGCCTCCAATAGGCCGAGCACATTAGAATCGTGAGAGATGATTAGGGGGTGTGGTCCCTAGCGCTTCCAACCATTCTAGACTCAGGGAGTTAGAGTTGAGAAACCTAGAGATGGGAATCCTTATCAAGACTGTCAAACAACCATAGAGACTTAGAAGACCTTTACGACAACATTGAAAATCAAAGGTAGCCTCCTAGGCCGATAGCAGCCGGTACAGTGTTAGTGGATCTTTCACTTTCTTTTCCACTCCATTATGGTACTGTTGAGCTAGGCGTGAGGTCGATTAGGGACGTGTGACTTGATAGATTGTTGGACTATCTTGCACGATGGATCCGTCTTATGAAATGGTGTTTAACATGCAAGCAGTCAGTGATTACCCTACACAGTATATCGTCCTATGGGAGGGCATTGATCATGTAGGTAATTAGTGAAGCTGACATGCAGAGGGTGGCACTCTTGACCTTGGGTGATTACATGGCATGTGGAATGGGCTCCCCAACTAGATCCCATGGCATGTGGAGGGTGGCACGGTCTCCACCGGATGGAGAGCTCTTTGATGTAGCGCCTCATCTTCAAATATTTGTTGCCGCTGCATAGGCTAAGCTAAATACCTAAGACTATGCACGATAGAGTAATACACTTATAATCTAGAGTAGTATATCATACATTCATAAAAACATACACGATAGAGTAATACACTTAAAACCTAGAGTAGTATATCATACATTCATAAAAGCTCATTGGAGAGATAACATCTTTCAATCGCCTCAAGCACAAATCACAATAATCCTCCTTCATTCTAAAAAAATGGAGAGCATATAAAACAACTTAGGTCTCAAAATTTTGACCTAGAGGCATTTTGGTAATTATACATATCATTCATAGCTTACTCGACTCAATTTTCCTAATTGAGTTCTATCATGCATATTGCCTTCATAGCTCTTCAAAGAAACCTAAAAAATTAGCATGCATATCATAAACTTATTTTAGAGAAATTTCACTAATTTCTTGACTTTAGGAACCTAAACATGCATATTCTCATAACCTAAGAAAAAATATGCTCGAAAGCTAGCACGTCCTAGTAATCCTAATAAGTATTACTTGAGAAAAGTTCGAATGACTACATACTTGGATGATGTATACCTTCTTGAGCTAGCTTTTCCGCATATAAAAGCTCCTAATTAAAATAATAAAAAAAAAAGAGAGTATCAAAATTGAAACGAAACCATTGAAATGGGTAAAAAAAAGGGAACTCATGCAGTCTCGCACATCGCAAGTGCGGTTGGAGGCATCTCACACGTGCAGTAGGTGCACCTAAAGGAAGAGTAGGCACACTCTCGACCTGCCACGTGTTGTTCATTAATTGGTCCTTACGTTTCTCTTGTTGCAAGTTCGAACATTGGGTTTATTTGATTTTTTTTTTTTGTGAATTACTAGATCACAGCACGTGGCGAACGGATAGGAACATCGGAGTCGAGTCAGGTCAAATCACTAACCGAATAGGTAGATGGGTTCTTGGATCAGATTGCTCCTCCAAACTGCACACGCCAACCAGATGTCAACATGCATCACTCGCTTGGCCAGCCGTGCGGCTCCATCAATCGCCTGATATGTGTCCCACTCACTTTACGACATATGTCGTTGTAGCTGCTTGGTGCATGTGGTTCACGGATTGCGTCTCCCTTGAGCGATTCATTTCTTAGAGTTCACTGAAACTCGGTTTTTCAATCTATTTCAACATCGGCCTCCTTCATGAAACTTGTGCAAAATCCCCTCATATAAAAATTCATAACCTAATTCCGAACAAATCTCTTGATCTAGAGGAAAATTGAGACTAAAAAATTGAAAATTTTACCTATAAACAAAGTACGCCACTCTCGTTAACCGAGTTGTTCGACATTTGAGGATTCTATTGACATAACTAAGTTTAGAGTATGACTCTGATATCATGTTAAAGATCACGACTATCCACAATGGTATGATATTGCCCACTTTGAGTATAAATTCTCATAGCCTTGCTTTGGGCTTCCCAAAAGGCCTCATACTAATGAAAATACTATTCGTTGAGTATAAACCCATGATCATTCTCTAAATTAGCCGATGTGAGACTTTCATCCAACATAATGAACGACTCTAGTCTTTCGTTTAGAATAATGCCACCATTACATGTATTTTATGACTACTATAGGTAAAAATCATTTAAAATAATTCACTTTAAACATTGTTCACAAATTCATTTCAAACAAAGAATTAACATCTCTCATCGATATTAAATTTTAAAATAGATGCTATTGACATGTCTTACCATAAGGACCATGACTTAATTGCAAAAATATAACCATCGTCACCTCATTTCCATGATCTCTTTAGCAAATGCAGTTATCTAGAAATAGGAGCCTTACCTTCCCCTCGAAACAAAAGTAAACATAATTTGAATATTTAAAAATACTTAGTAATTAATCTTATTTTTGGATCATAAAATGTAATCTTGATTCATGGTGGGACCTATCTTTTCGTGATTATTCCTTGGGTTCTATATCTTTTCTTGGTAGGATTGCCATTAGAGCTCTAGGTTATAGATTTTGTAGACTAGCCTACGATGTAGGTTTGACATGTTCCATGGTCCCACCCTCGATGCCCTGTCTTTGTCAGGTATGTCTTGCATAAGATAAAAAAAATAAAATGTTGTTGATTGAGTATGTTATTACTACTTGATCATTATAAAATATAACTCATAATTGAGTTTTTACACCATTAACTGTATTATAGTTGATTGCGTTATTGTTGGCTTAATTCTATATTTATTATAGCGTAAAATATGCTATGTTTTACCTTGCATGGAATGTGAATGTAAATTAACGTATTGATGATGTTTAGATTTAGTGAGGTTGGTATTGTGAATGGGTAGCTATAGTTTTAGTAAGCTACTAAATGTTGGTGTATGCGTGAAAATGATTTTGCTAAGGAAAGTCATATGTTTCAATTAGACGTCTCGAACATAGATAAATTATTTAGTGCTATGATCATAGAGATGGAAAGGAATGTACCAACATATACTAATGTGTAAGTAATTTCAAATGAAATGAAAATGACCCAGGAAGCTTGATAAATGACAATATCTTATAGTATGCTACAGATATTAAAGATGGTAGTGTCGAAAGAAAATTTTATGACTATAAAGTATGTAAATATGAAATTAAAGTATCGGTATGGAAAAAAAAGTGATTTGGGCTAAAAAAGAGTTGAGTTAAGACCATAAAAGTTAAAAATGTTGTATGTTTAAATTGATTGGTGAATGACATAAATGCCTTGGAACTAGAGCTTTGGAAGTAATGAGAGGTAGAAAACTTCCCTACCTTAATACAAATTGAAATTTTTTAAAAATACAACTGCAAGTATGAAAGTTAGGAGGTGATTTAAAAGTATCGAGCCACAATTTGTATGATACATTACGATCATGGTCAAAATTTTAGAGGTATATGAAGAGAAACTACAATATGAGATTGTCAAGATACCTTAAATTTAAGGTACCATACCATTATTTAAGATAAACTTGGGTTGAGGATACACGAGGATTACAGAGGTGGTACAATGTCTCTAAATTAGCTAGAAGTTTTGTGGTAATCTTCCTTATGGTACACCAATGCATTGCAGAAAGCTCAACATAAACAAATTGTTGTAGAAAATTATCGATGAATTTTTCTTACCAATGTCAACCTGGTTAAAAGGTATTACCAAGGTATTACCATTATAAGTTGGATTTTTAAATATCCCCAGTTGTATGACATCTAAGGATATCCACCATGCTTATGTAATACGAATTTTTTTTTTTTTTTTTGGAGTTGAAAAAAAAAATGAGGATCTTAGGGTTAAGATTGAGGAAGTTTGTCAACCTTATTGTTCACATGAACATTTATTTTAATGAAGCGCCTTAGCCACAAACCTACAAAATGAGTTCGGTTGCTCATGTGAATTTAGGGGAGAATCCATATGACATGATGGTTATTTATGAAATTTCGGTGTCCATTAGAATATGATATTGGGCTAAACCAAGAGTAGGTGTAAAATGACTAAAATGCCCCTATAATTATGTACCACTAGCTTATGACCAAAGTGACCTCTAAATTACATGAAATTTGATAAGGAGCCTTATGTCATGATGTAAAGGGATTGCACAAATTTACAAGGACATTGGAATATGTCGAAGAATTAAACTCGTTGAACCTTGCTCCACATCTGGTTCCATTTCCAATCGCACTTTCTTCAATTCTCTAGTCGTCCTTGTGAAGCTAACTTGTTTCTGCTTGCTCATAACGTAGTTCTCACAATGACCCACATCAACAGATTTTAGACCTTCTAAAACTCCTTTCGCGGCCAGTGTCTTCATTCTTTTCACGCTCATATGTCCAAGTCTATTGTGCTATAGACTTGAATTTGAAGCACTCTCAGCAACATCAACTATGTTCATACACCCTGCAGTGGTGTATAATGTTCCAGATTTTGAACCACGTGCTACCACCGTAGCACCCTTCATAATCTTCCACGAACTCTTCCCTAACTTTGTTGCATAACCTGTGCTGTCCAACTGATCAATAGAGATCAGGTTCTTTTTTAGACAAGGAATATATCTGACATCCTTTAATGTCCACTGATTTCCTGCCGGAGTTTTTATGCAGACATCTTCTTTTCCTTTAATCTCCAAATCTTTGTTGTCGGCAAGATAAACCTTCTTGAAATTTCCAGACTTGAAATTCCGAAAAAACTCTTTATTTGGAGATGAATAAAAAGATGCACCTGAATATAAAATTCAGGATTCAATCGAACTGTCCACGCTGAGGATTAGAGCATCCCCAATGTCTTTTGCTGAATTTATAGAATCATCATCATCTCCAGATCTGTGATTCTGCTTCCTCTTTAGTCTTGTACAACATGTTCGAAAGTGATCTTTTTCTCCACAATTCCAACACGTTACGTTTGGTCTATTTGGAGATTTTTCTCGGTTCTTTGATTTTGATCGCTCTTTGTTTGGGCCCTTCGGTTTACTTATTTCCCGTTGGTCAACACTGAGAGCACTATCAGATGAATTTTCAATTTCTCGTTTGCGAGTACTTTCACTGAGAACTACATCTCAAATTTCATCAAACTTCAGTTTATCAGATCCTCGCGAATTGCTGATTGCGGCAACAGTAGTATCCCACGACTCGGGTAAAGATGATATCAAAATCAATACTTTAATTTCATCCTCGAAATTAATTTCCACCGAACTCAGTTGACTTACGATCATATTGAATTCATTTATATGAACAACAACAGATCCACCTTCAGGCATCTGTAGATTGAACAATCTTCGCATCAAATACACCTTGTTCATAGCCGACGGTTTTTCGTACATATTCGACAGTGCCTTCAACAGATCTGACGTTGTCTTCTCCTTGATGATATTGAACGCCGTTTCTGGATAGCGTCAACCGGATCAGCCCTAAGACTTGTCGATCCTTGAGCTTCCACTGCTCCGTGGTCATGGTATCCAACATCACCCCCAACAAGAGTTCATGAAGACCTTTCTGATACAGATAATCTTCAATCTGCATTTTCTAGAAATCGAAATCGGATCCATCGAACTTCTCAATTCCAATCTTTGAACTTTCCATCTTCACAAACCGTGGTGACTTCAACCTAGCTCTGATACCAGTTGTTAGGATCGCACAACAACGCACATACTCGATCTAGATGAACACAAAGAATAGGAATTATGAAATTAAAAATAATAAATGAAGCTTTCTAACAACTTCTACTCCAATGGTGCAAATATTTCTTTCTAAAGCTCCAAATGGTCATACCTCAATCGAATCAACTTGTAACACATGAAATAATAGTTGGATCGCACCTATTCAATTTTGTAGATAAAGAATGAATGCTTGTTGAATGTTCTTGGTCTTAGATCGTGTTATAGGTCTAGTTGGAACATTTTGAACATCGTGATCCTTATCAAGATGCTTGCACGGTGCAGAGTTTGGATTGGTCTCGGGCTGTTCCTACAGTGCGCAGGTTGTGGCTGACGGTACTTGGCTCAATTGGGTTGAATAGTTGCAGTGGGCCGAGCGATCGATGCTGTAGGTGGGCTTCGGGGCTTGATTCACGGCTATTGGGCTTCACGTTGGTCGTGGGCCTAGAGTTGGGTTTGTCCTAGTTGCGTATTTCGGCCGAACTAAATGTTGATCGTGGGTTGGCTCTCGTACTAGGTAACTCGAATCTAACCCCAGTCAACCGAAATTGGTTATCTTCTCACCTGGCTCGCCTTCAATTTTCTTCAACTTTCTCTCTATTCCCGAATCATTTTTCGATGATTCTTTTCGTCGTCCTCCTCTTGTGACCTTCCGTTTGTTGTTTCCGTCACCCCCACAACATTACAAATCCTTGTAATTACCTATACACATAGATCCATCGATATTTTTAAGCTTTCCAAAAATTGGATCTTGCCCGAGATTGAGTCTGAGGGAAGGCTTTGTGCGTATTCTTCTCCTCTGTGATCTGTTTTCTCTCCAGATGACAGGGGTATGGAGTCCTTGGAAGTGTTGAGGAGCGTTGAGGAAGCTTGGCCTCGTGGGTAGGTTAAAGATGGGAGAATTCTGGCTCCTTGCTGGAATTGTCCCGTCTTTTTTGGCGTCTACATTTTTTTTTAATCCTTACAAATATTCTCCTATAATTTCTATAAATAGGATTTTTTTATTTGAACATACTTCCTCTCATGAGATTTCTCTTCCCAACTCGTTCTCAAATCCCTTAATAATGAAGGTGTTTTCTTTTAAGAAAACCAGATTTCTCTTTCAAGAAAGACTTTTTAGAAGATTCTCCGATGATCCTTGCTTTGTGTTTAAGACTTTTTAAGAAGATTAAACCAGACGATATTCAACTATTGTAAGAGGTAGAACAAGTAGATTCAAGACCGCCAAAAAATTCTCCATATATCTTTCAAGTAAATTTGCTTAACCTTTTTGTTTTGTTTAATAGAATAAAATTAAAGTTGATTTCAATACACGAATAAAGCCTTCATTCCTAACAAGTATGTGGGTTATGATGCACATAATACTTCCATTCTTTTCATGACGTAACTCTACTATGAGACATGCACACGCATATATGGTATATCTTTCATCATTACTATACATGGTTCATCATAAGTGAATGAACTCTTCATCCATATAGCGGAAGCATTAGGAACTATTTTGATTTTATTAAGAATTAAAACGAAAACAATAAATATAAGAATAATAATTTAAACTTTGTAGATTAGCTTGCAAGGAGGTAGAAACCTTAGCTTGCAAGACTATTTGAAGTATTTCAAGCTTGTAAGACTCCTTGAAGTATTTCAATGTAGAAGTTCTTCCACATTCCACAAAATCTTTGTTGCTATGACTCAATTACAAGGCTAAGACTTATGGGAGCCTTTTGAAAGAAAACTCAACCTTATCAATAATGTTACTCGGATAAGGCACCCAACCTTATCAATATACCGTCTAAGCTATTATTTGAACACGATCTATTTGTATGTCAACCACATATTGCTCAAGATTATATTAATAACTTTGGATTTTCATACCACTGATAATATTAAATTGTAAATAAAATAATAAAAATTATTGTTAAAAATTAAATAATTAGTTGCAAGGCTTTAGAGCATAAATCCCAACATCATCGATACCTCATAGACATACCATGAACATGGTATCATAATATACGTGGATTGATATACTAGAAGTACATGCAGTCATAATACAACATAACTAAGAATGTTTGATTAATCCATCACACCTAGATGATGTGAAAGTTATCTTGTAAGTATATGGAAAAAGTAATAAATGGAAATAACAATAAATGGAAAGATACCTATTGTAAGAGATATTTGGGTTATAATAAAATATCAAATATGATATATATAGTAAACTATAATTTATTACTAAATATCCTTAACAATAACATATCATAACACAAAGGAAATGACATGTAGACAGCCTACATGATATGTGTCATTCATACAACACTAACCATCCAATGAAGCTAGAAGACGTTTCAACAGTAAGTTTACTTACTTGGTCGACCTAAGATGGAGTCACTAAACACCCTTGGTGCTAGCCTGATTCTTCTCCATGAAATCCAACTCCACCTATGAAGTTCCACAACATCGTACCAGGACATAATAAGAGAATTGATTCACTTAATGGTATCAACTAGCTAGCTTGATCCTTTCTCCCTGAAATCCAACTCCACCTATGGAATCCAACAATCGTATTAGGATATAATAAGAGACTTAATTCACTTAATGGTATCAACTAATCTAAACTTTGGCTCAAAATATTTTAAATTGACTAAATAGTAGTTATAATAACCTTAAACGCCCCAAATACGTAAAAATGACTTTGTAATGGTAAAAAATGATAAGAGGAAGTATGAAAACTCAAACCGGAGGTAAATAATCCTTTTAAGCCGAGTTGGAGTCAAGGGGGCTGTCAAGCCGACATCAGACGCCTGTAGGAGGCTAGCCGCAGCTAGGAGGGCACCTTGGTGGGGCGGTGTGCGCTTAGAGGCGACTCCAGTTGCAAATGAGCAGTGTGCAGGTTGTGAGTTGGGTGCGGGTCACGAGCTGGCTGAGGATCTGTTGGGCAGAGAAGCTACTGGGTTGATGCGTGTAGGTTTGGCTTACGTTCATGGACCGAGTAGCTGGGTTGACACGTGCGGGCTAGGTTGGATGGTGGGTTGTTGTTAAGGATAGTTGACCGTTCATTATAAGGCAAATATTTGCCTTACATTACGGGTTACCATATTTGCCCTTTTATTAAATGCAAATATATTGTATTCATTTATTATTCTTTCCTTTTATCGCTATTTCCTTATTATTTGTAATTTATCTTATTTATGTATTCTGTAAATGATTATAAATAAAAGAACTCTCACCACCATTTGGGTGTGGTGGATTAATCAAACATTCACATGGTATCAGAGCCCTTTCGGTTTAACAACCCTGATCCTTTCTTCTCTATGGCTTCCGAATCTTGTTATCATCTTCTTCCTTTCAATACTCTAATCCATGTGATCACCATCAAACTTTCTTCCTCCAATTATCTTCTTTGGAAAAGCCAACTTCTTCCTCTCCTTGAGAGTCAAGACATGCTGGGCTATGTCGATGGAACTATGGTTCCACCACCTCGCTTTGAACCAGAAACCTCCTCAACATTCAACCCCAAATATTTGGCATGGAGAGCAGCCGATCAATGACTTCTCTGTCTCCTGCTCTCCTCTCTCACTGAGGAAGCCATGGCTGTTGTCGTTGGTCTCTCTACTGCACGTGATGTTTGACTTGCGTTGGAAACTACGTTCAGCCATCAGTCAAAAGCTCGTGAACTGAGACTCAAGGATGACTTGCAGTTGATGAAACGTGGCACAAAACCTGTTGCTGAGTATGTCCGTGCCTTCAAGAAAATTTGTGACCAACTTCATGCCATTGGCAGACCCGTCGAGGACATTGATAAAGTGCACTGGTTCCTTCGTGGACTCGGCACCGAATTTTCAGCTTTTTCTACTGCTCAGATGGCTCTCACCCCTATCCCCTGTTTTGCAGATCTAGTCTATAAAAACTGAAAGTTTTGAGTTGTTCCAGCGCTCCCTTGAGTCCTCTAACTCCACTCCTACAGCATTCACAGCCACTAATCATGGTCGCACCCATGGAAGTCACCCTGCTTCCTTTACCAACCAGCGAGGTCGTTCTTATTCTCACAAAAACAACTCTTCTAATCGAGGACGAACCCACTCAAGTCAGGGTCGTCGACCACCTCATTGCCAAATATGCCGCAAAGAGGGCCATTATTCTGACCGCTGCAACCAACGGTATGTTCGACCTGATTCTTCTCATGCTCACCTTGCTGAAGCCTTTAACACGTCATGTTCTATTGCTGGACCCGATGCTGCTGATTGGTTTCTGGACACTGGAGCTTCGGCCCATATGACTGCCGACCCATCAATTCTGGATCAGTCTAAAAATTACACGGGTAAGGACTCTGTGATCGTAGGAAACGGTGCATCCTTACCCATTACCCACACCGGTACTCTTTCTCCTGTTCCAAATATTCACTTATTAGATGTCTTGGTTGTCCCTAACCTCACTAAAAATCTTCTTTCCATAAGTAAATTAACGTCTGATTTTCCTCTCTCCGTTACATTTACTAATAATCTTATTACTATCCAGAATCATCAAACAGGAAGGGTGGTGGCAACCGGTAAAAGAGATGGAGGGCTATATGTGCTGGAGCGCGGCAACTCTGCTTTTATTTCAGCCCTTAAAAACAAATCTTTATGTGCTTCATATGATTTATGACATGCTGGTCTGGGTCATGTAAATCATTCTGTTATTTCTTTTTTAAATAAAAAAGGTCATCTTTCTCTTACGTCTTTAATGTCTTTTCCATCATTATGTAATACTTGTCAGCTTGCGAAAAGTCATCGCTTGCCTTATTCCCGCAATGAACGTAGGTCGTCTCATGTGTTAGATCTTATTCATTGTGATCTTTGGGGTCCTTCTCTCGTCAAATCAAATTCGAGTTTTCTTTATTATGCTATTTTTATTGATGATTATTCTCGATTCACTTGGTTTTACCCTTTAAAATTTAAATCTAATTTTTTTGATATTTTTCTTCAATTTCAAAAATTTGTGGAAAATCAATATTCTTCTCGTATCAAGGTATTTCAAAGCGATGGTGGTACCAAATTTACTAGTACTTGTTTCAAAACTCATTTACGTAATTCTGGCATCCACCATCAACTCTCTTGTCCATATACACCTGCTCAAAATGGTCGAGTTGAGAGAAAACATCGTCATGTGACTGAGACTGGCTTGGCCCTTCTCGTTCACTCTCATCTTTCTCCTCGTTTTTGGGTTGACGCCTTCAGCACTGCAGCTTATATTATCACCCGGTTGCCTACTCCACTTCTTGGAGGTAAGTCACCCTTTGAACTTCTTTATGGATACACTCCACATTATGACAATTTTCATCCCTTTGGTTGTCGTGTTTATCCTTATTTGCGTGATTATATGCCTAACAAGCTTTCTCCCCGCAGCATTCCTTGTATTTTTTTGGGTTATAGTCTTGTTCAAAAAGGGTTCCGCTGTCTTGATCCCGCCACCACTAAGCTATATATCACCTGCCATGCTCAATTTGATGAAACTCACTTTCCTGCTATCCCTAGCTCCCAAGCCAAACCTCTTTCCACTATTCCTATTTCAAATTTCTTGGAACCACATCTTCATCATATTGATTCATCCCCCCCTACCACTTCATCACCGCACATTCCTCAATCCAGTTCATCCCCGTGTGATATTTGTTCTGACCTTGTAGATGAGTCTGTGCAAGTTGATACTTCTCTTGCAGGTTCCACTTTGCCACCCTCGACTTCTAATTCGACCTCTATTGAACCTCTTGTTGATTTCTCTTCTTTGGACACTCATCCTATGATCACACGCGCCAAAGCTGGTATATTCAAGACTCGTCATCCAGCAAATCTTGATATGTTGGGCTCATCTGGACTTCTCTCTGCTCTTCTTGCATCCACTGAGCCAAAAGGATTCAAATCTGCGGCTAAGAATCCTGCTTGGGTGGCTGTCATGGATGAAGAAATTCGAGCGTTACAACAAAATGATACTTGGACTTTGGTTCCTCGCCCTGCCAACACCAACATCGTGGGCTCTAAATGGGTGTTTCGTATTAAATATTTGGCCGATGGATCCATCGAGCATTTCAAGGCTCGTCTCGTTGCCAAAGGTTATACTCAAGTTCCTGGTCTTGACTACACTGACACTTTCAGTCCGGTTGTCAAAGCTACCACTGTCCGTGTTATGCTTTCTATTGCAGTCACAAATAAATGGCCTATTCGACAACTTGATGTCAAGAATGCTTTTCTCAATGGAACGCTTATTGAACGTGTTCATATGGAACAACCTCCTGGGTATGGTGATCCTCGATTTCCTATGCATGTTTGTCTATTAAAGAAAGCTCTCTATGGCTTAAAGCAAGCTCCTCGTGCTTGGTTTCAGCGTTTTAGCTCATTTCTTCTTACACTTGGGCTTTCTTGCAGTCGCGCTGACACGTCCCTTTTTGTCTTTCATCTGCAATCTAACCTTATCTATTTGCTTCTTTATGTTGATGACATTATTGTTACCGGCAACAACTCATCTCTTATTAACAGCTTTACTCGCAAGCTTCATTTTGAGTTTGCTACCAAAGATTTGGGTTCTCTCAGTTACTTTCTTGGTCTTGAAGCTTCACCCACTCCTGATGGTCTCTTTATCAGTCAGTTAAAATATGCTCGAGATATTCTTACTCGTGCTCAGTTGCTCGATAGCAAACCAGTTCACACTCCCATGGTTGTTTCTCAACACCTGACTGCTGATGGTTCTTCTTTCTCTGATCCTACTCTCTACAGATCTCTTATTGGCGCCCTTCAGTACTTGACTATTACGCATCCAGATATTGCCTATGCTGTCAATTCTGCAGTCAATTCTTGCATGCCCCTACTGCAGATCACTTTCTTGCTGTCAAACGT